TTTCAATACTACTTACTGTAACTCTCCTACAAACCATACACACAGGACAGTTATAAATGAGCTTTTAAATCAGAAAACTATTACTGGAAACAAGCAGCATGGAAATCCCTAAGGAACCAGCATTCTTTTGTAATTTTATTAGTTTGTTTGTGGTGCTGAGGATCAACCCCAGAACCTTATACATGCAGGTAAGTGATCTACACTTCACTACACACACCTCCAGCCCCTTTTGCAATATTAGGAGGACTCTCACTAAGTTCCTTTAGGAAATTGAAGGTGGCAGCTGAAACTACATGAGGGGATTGATTTTATAGTTCTGAAGTAGTTGTGACTCAGCTACACACAACTGACACATGCTTATGAGAAATAAAGCAGGACCACTTTCTATTTGGTAACATTACTTAAGGTGCTGGGGACCGAACTCAGGACTTGCAAGGCAGGCACTCTACTGTGTGAGCCACCCGCCAGCCCTTTTCTGTCAGTTATTTTCAAAAATAGGGTCTTGTGAACTATTGCCCAAGCTGGCTTCAAACCTCAATCCTGATCTCTGCCTCTTGGGCAGACCGAGTTCAAACGCAAGCCCACAAAAGAAAAAAAAAAAAGTTACTGATCTCTGCCTCTGTGTAGCTTGGATTATATGCGTGAGCCACCAGCACCATGTGCGGTAACATTAATGACTAGAGTTATTCAACTATCTGAATGAATGACATAGCATTTCCTAGTAAAATTTTTATATTTTTCTTTTTCTATAATATAGCCTTTTCTAAGAATTGTTCCATTTCATCATTTTCTCATGTATAATGATGTTGCTACCCTGAAAGGGCAGCAACAGACTCTTTACGTAGATCACCTCACTCAAGCTTTTAACTACCTTCCATATTAGGTATTTATCATTTTACATAGTGGGAAAGTGAGACTATCACTTAACAGTTTACGTAACTGATAAAAGATGACCTCGATAGCAGTGGGGGGTTCATATACCAGCCTGTCTATCAGGGTTATTTGCATAGTGATGAATAGCAGCTATACCATCACCTGCTATGGGGTCAGTTACTGGAAAAAAAAAAACACACACATTATTCTTGATCCGACTCAGTTACTCAAAAAATCACTCAATGAAGCAAACTGACTTGTCCAAGGTGCCAGTAAAGGGGAACGTTGAGACAAGAAATGGTTTTTAATTCAAATATACGAAAGATTTTCACTATACTCTAACAGTAAAGGCTTTATTCTTTCCTTGGTGTCATCCATGTCTCCCCCAACATCCAAGAGTAGACTAGGGTACCTGACCCAGAGCAATCTCCCAACACGTACTTTCTCCAACAGAGCCTTTCGTAGACGCCGCTCCTCTTGCAACCATGATGAACATTCTTTATGTAATTGCCAGCTCAGGTCCAGCTTCTCAGGCAGGCAGCCATCTTGCAGATGAGTTCATGAGAGAAGACACGTATCTTCGGAGCGGCGGTAGTGCTCGATGCATTCGCCCAGCTGCGCAGTGTGGACAGGTTTAAGGTTGGTGTGGTCAACCTGAAGGCAGTGGTGCTTTAGCTTTCCATAACCTTCCTGCTTCTCTCTGCCAGCCCACCACACTCAGACTCACCCAGTCAGCAGTAACAAAATTGACAGCCTCAGCAAAGTTGTAGCCTTGGTTGAAGCCACTGTGGTAAGCACGGGGAAAGGTGATGACGAATTCTCCTGCACACTGGTTGTGCGAACAACCTGAGGAACAAGAAAATGCTAAAGCTATTAAGATAGAGGTTTCCAATCTACAGAACCTACCTAAGAGCAGAGTCCTTAAGGAAACAAAAGCTTCAGGAAATATAGTGTGACAACAGAATCCCAGGCCTCCAACTCTGAAAGGAGAACCATCAGTCTGCTCTCAAGGTTCTGATCTGTACTGACAGATGACAGTATGATTTTGAGTCAGAGCATATGAAATACACCTATCAAAATATTTTGACTTCCCTAATTTTTTAAAACACTTGTAATATAATTTTTATTAAGCTAGCCAAGTTTTTACATTGATATTACTTTTAACAGTCATAGATGAAGTTTGTCAAATGGTTCTATGAGATGTTATAAGACCAGTAGGCCCTCTCATTGTCCTTTCCCAAAAGCCAATCACCTTTACCTCTTCTGATTATTTGGCACCGATCCTAACAACCATAGATAATGTGTTTCTGGTCTATTGTTAGAACAGTCTCTTGGGCTGGAGGTGAGGCTCAAATGGTAAGAGCACCTGCATAGGGGGCACAAAGCTGAGTTCAAACCCCAGCACCATAAATAAATAAATAAACAGTCTAGTTCTCAGTTTGCTTAGTTTTCTATACATATACTAGTAACTTAAACCCTAACTTTCTGACAAATGTCTAATTCTCCTTCCTATACATTGAACCTTACTACTAGCACTCTCACAAAGACTTGTTTTTTTTTGTTTTTTTTTTTAATTTAATTATTGACAGGATCTTGCTATGCAGCCCAGGCTGGACTGGAACTCACGATACTACTACCTCAGCTTCCCAGGTGCTGTAATTATAGGAATGTACTACCACACCCAGCTTCATGAAGCCTTCTGATCGGTCTGATCTGAACCAGCTATTCTCCCTGGATCCTCATCAGATCTGTTCCCTAAATCCTATCTTTCTCTTTCTTGGTTTATTCCTTTGCTGTGTTTGAACATCTCCTCCAGTATCTCCTGAGAACTGGTGGAAAGAAGCTTTTTTTTTTTTGGGGGGGGTCCTCTATTCTTACTCTCATACTTGACTACATGTAGAATTCTAAGATGAAAATGATTTTCAAGTCTTGTTCTAGTCTTTTAGAATCCAGCATGCTGCTGAAAATCTGAAAGCCATTCTAAATTTCTAATCATTGAATTAAACCTGTTTCTCAAGAATTTCATAGGATTCTTCTGGTCCCAGTACTTGATATAAAAATCCACAAGATATATCTTGATGTGATGTTTTTATTTATGTACTGGGTAGGCCTTTTGATTCTGGAAACTTTCCAGGAAATTTCTTGAGTGCCTGCCTCAAAGCACAAAGCCTCACGTTCAAATCCCAAGACCACCAAAAAGAAAAAAAAAAATCATCAATGATTCCATTATCTTGGTTTTATCTACTCTTTTTATACGTCGTATTGTTGAATATTGAACTTCTAGGATAAATTCTCTAATTTTCTCTACATTTTTATTCTATTTTCTAGGAGATTTTCTCAACTACTATTGTCTTAGCTTTGATTTTTTTTGGGGGGGGTTGTTTTTTAGTTTTTTCTTTTGCTATCATAATTTTATTCTCCAAGAACTCATAAGTATGTTCTCCATATGC